GAGGCAGTTCTGAAGGCAAAAGGGGGTCCAACCCGTTACTAGCATGGGGTACCTAATAAAGTGGCCGGTGAGTGTATATTAACTTTCTCCACTCCAAACCAAACTGTTATCCACTCCATGGCGCCCGTATTTAGTCTTTTTCTAAACTAGAATAAAGCTGACGAGTTAAAAGAATTTCTAATTGCATAAAACAATCGCATATATCTGCAGAATACTACATAAATCTACCATAATCCAGCAGGAAAACGAAAGCAGACGACCACATGCCTCCTGCTTCTTGTTTCAATTAGACGAAACAGACAATGATTATCCTGGTCAATGCTGGGTTGCTATTGGTGAGGACAGGCGCTGTGGCCTTCACACAGGATATTTTAAACTAATCAGCAGCTCCCTGAATAGATAGAGAGGCGCTGAGGAGAGCTGGAGTGTTGACATGAGCGCGCTGCTTGCCATATGGCATAATAAACCCCCCCCTTAGGTTTATGAAGAATGCCTGCAATCATCTGTCCAGGTTGGACACCTGCTCCTCCTGTTGTTCTTGTCTGCATGAATCGCTTTCCCCCCCTCAAAGACAAACACAGGATATTCTTATAGATCCTAAAGGAACTGTTGTGCAGCTTGTTATGACTGGAGGCAAATGATGCAACAAAAATCAAACCTGTTAATTTTTGTGAGATTATGGAGGGATTTATTGGCACAGAAAGATTGACAGGAGATGTCAGGGGTACAACTCAAATCCGGAGTCCTCAGTCATCAGCTGTCCCAGGATTTAAATCTATCATTCCCCTCCTCTCATGTGGGATGACTAGAACCAAAAGAAAAGACTAACAGACATCAGCTAATGCTGTTCCTTTAAAAATCCTTTTTTCTCAAAAAAAAAAGTCTGCATGTTGAGCTGCAGGGAATAAACCATGCAGGATGAAAGAATTGCGGACAGATCACCGAGATGATGACCAAACATCCGCACCTCTGGTTTATTTTCAGCGCTCGTTTGAGCTCATTTCCATCGGAGCTCAGAAGAAATTGAAGTCATTTGTTGTAATGCGCCTTAATTGCTTGTTTACAGGCTTCTCCTCCTAAATGAGTTTGATCTGATATCAGGAGGCAGCATGATTGGCACAAGCAAGTCAGGCACCAGTTACCCTTCAAAAAACCTATTTGGTTTAACTTAAAGATCAATATAAGTAAAGTACATGAGAACAGTTCATTTTGTCTCTTAAACCAGCTGTCCAGAAACATCTTATCCGTCAGTGGATAAGATAAAGCTGCACTGAAGGATGTCAGGGAGGCAGATTAAATTGGTCAAAAAACATTTCACATCACAAACAAAATTATTCCTCTTTTAAAAACAAGAATTCTCAAAATTCCAGATTTGTAAAACTCAAATCTTATCATTAACATTCTGGAGCATTTGAGTGTAAAAAATGTATCATTAGGAGTTTTTTTTATTTTTCCTTTATATTGCAGAAATCATGAGAAAGCACAATAGTAATAGTCGCTTACGCCCCACTAGCGTCAAGGACTATTTTTAATGTTTACCGATTTAGATCAGCTTCACTTCAAAGTTGTTTTCCCATACTTAGCTTTAATCCTTTGAAAACAGAAAGCAAAAAAAAACATCTAATAAACTCAGACATCTAATTTACCGTAAATTTTCTTTGTTTTCTATGCCAATGTACAAGACCATATCAAATCCCACCATTTTCCAGCATACCTTGGAAATTTTAGGGCTGACTTGAGTTTGGGTGCTGACCTCTGAATTGCAACATGTTTTCAAATGTATTGTAGTAGGTGCAGTCCCGGCATGATGACACAAGTTCTACTTCAAAAGAGAAAACCTCATCCAGGTAACGCACGCCTATTCTTCTGAGTCTGACTCACTCACTAAATGGCACAGATAGTTTTACTATTCAAGAGCTACAAGAAAAACTTTCTGATTCTGTGGAAAAAAACATTATCTTAATAGAAAAACACATTGGATCCCTGGAGTGGCTGCGTGCACTCACTTACCGGTACTTACAGTTGGCCTATATCAAAAGCAGATCTATGATTAATGCACAAAGTCTGACTATTTGGTCAATGCACATTTTCCCCTGAGCTTCAGTTTCTTACTTTTTAGTTTTGTTTTCCACAAATTAAAACTATACCTAAGAGTATGGGTGTTGAAGCATAAGACCACAACTGTAATCTAACTTCAACTCTAAACAAAAACTAGAAAAATGTCCCAGGTTCTCAAATTTAATGCATTTAATAAATGAGGTAAAATCAACAGCTCAAACTGACTGACTGGCGCATCTTTTGAAAAAACAAGTTACTCGCTGAGAATCCACAAATATTTTCGTCCTTCACCCCTTGTTTTTTTTTTCCTCTGTCTTAATTATTATTGTTCCAATATAATCTAGTCATAAAAACATGTTTTGCCCACCTTCAGTAGTTGTAATGTTTCTACAAACACATTCAGCCAGACACACGTCTTATCAGAGGCTTAACAGGCTTCCAGATAGAGGCAGTGTGGTTGATGTTGTCACGAGACAACAGGAAGAAAAATGCAAGCCCAGCGAGAGCAGACAGTGTGAAATGTAAATACGAAAAAAGATTTGTTGTTTTTACACTGAATGCATCCTGAATCGATAATTGACGGAAATGATGATGCCTTTTGTTGTTTTATTGAAGATCGGGATCCATCTCCTGGGAGGCCCAAAGAAGACCGAATGATAACATCCACTTGATATAAGAACTTTAGACTATTTACTAATCAAGTTTAGCTTTGATTCTTTATTCTCACAGTAATTTAACACCTCCCAACCCAAACGGCATCACACTCATCTAGGTCAGACAGACAAAACGCCCACAGAAGCCCAACTACTGACAAGCGGAAAGCGATCTGCTGTAAAATCACAGCCCCTCAGAGGGCTTGTCAAGTCTTTTCATGCAAAAGCTTATGTAAAGTACTCAATCATAAAGTTTGTGTTATTAAAGCTTATCTTTACCAAACTAAAACTCAATGCTACACAAAAACACCCCAAAAGTTACAGATAGAGACTAGAATCTGAAAACAATGCAAGGGTGTTTGTTTTATAAGCATTTAGCATTTAATGGCACCAAAATCATCAAGCTATCTTACACCGCTATCATAAATAACATAACGCTCACTTTGATCCTTTTAAATTGGGTTTTTTTTGTGCCATTACTCTACCAGAAGCTTATTGATGTGTAATAACAGAATACTTAAAAGTAAATTAGGTTATGTGTAGCTCTGTCTTTATACAGAAGCCCGGTTTGTTTTTGTGGACACTTTGTGCACAGAAAGTGATAAGCTTGTCAAGGCCGTAGCTTCATAACAATCTCCATGATGTGTTTCTGTCATGATCTGGCCTGTTTGCTCTCCCTTAATTAGTCATTCCTTTCACCTGCCCTCTTCCCTCCCTGCCTCATTATAATTAATTCCCCTCACCTGTTTCCTCTGGTTTATATTCAGTTCAGCCTGAGCATTCAGTGCCAGATCATTGCTTGTCTTTCTGTCAGTCTTTCTGTTCAGTTTTTATTTGGTTCATGTCCTGGATCCTGGCAGCCAGTGGAAAGAGGGTTTTAGTGTTTGTCTCGTCTCCTGATCGTCCACTGTTCCTCCCCTGCGGAGTCCTCTGGGTTTTTGGCTCATTATGGGGGGGGGGTTCAGTTTTTATCTAAGTAAGCCTGGCTCCTGGCTGGAGACCAGTTTAAAGTCTGCTTCAAGTTCCGGTTCCACGTCCTGTCTCGGCTACCCTCTTCCACTGAGCCTGCCTGTCTGCACCTGATCCTGTCTGCTCCTGTGCGTGACCACCTGGTCATGCTTCTGGTCCCAGTAAGACTCTGAACCCTCCTGGAAGCCTGTGGTTGCATGGAAGTCTGGATCCTGCCACCTCTGTCTGTTCCTGTCTGTTCTGGATCCCTGACCAGGATCAGCTTCCACCATCACCTCTGGGACTGCAGCACTGGGACACTTGTGGTCTGTACTGTTAAACCAGGTAAGTGACCAACACAGTTAATCTTCTATTGGTTGATCGTGGTCACTTACCTGTGTTTCCTCCCTAGAGTGTCTGAGATTGGGCGGTGCCCCGCCCCCCCTGCCTGCAGTGTCCTCGAGCCACAGCTCCGCTTTCTTTTTGTTTTTATTTTAATAAACCTTTTGAACTTTCCTACTGACTGTCTCTCCTGAATACTGGGTCCATCTGTCCTCGGTTCATGACAGTTTCCTTCTAAATTACAAAAAAGTCACTCATGAGGATTGGAGTTTTATGTGAATATTAGTGGTTTTGCAGTCCTAACTGCTATCCTGGCTTTGAGTGCAGGAAAGTGTGCGTTTATATATGTGAATGTGGCTCTAGTGCAAAACGTTCTGATATGTTATTATCCCTAGAAAGTGCTTTACAAGTCAGCTTTTCTTATTATTAGTTTTAAATAAATGATTTCTTAAAGAAACATGTTTAAATCAAAGGTGCAGCTTTCTTGCTAATTCCAGATCTAAAAATGCCGATTCCGATTTGTTTAAAAACTGACGCCATCAGTTGTTATAAAGTCATAATAAGCCTTTCATACTGAAATTGTATTTTATTGGAAAGCATTAAATAATGCCAGTTAAATAACAATAAAAACTTGTTAAAACTTCACATGAACTAGTGCTCTCAGACATAGAGGAAAAGTTTAGAGTATTACCAGTGCTGAATTTTCAGACCTTTGCAGAGGAACATAAGAAAAATCGATGGATTGGATCATTTAATATGCAAATATCTGCTGATTACTCATCAACCAGAAACAGAAAATCGAGGCGGATCCATTATTGTTCCCCTAGTTTTAATATATAAAAGCAACAACCTCCAAGCAGCCAAGAAACATAAAGATGCAATTAAACACTGGGAGAAATACTTGGGAAAATATCATCACCAGATTCCTTTGTTGATTTCTGGCATAGCTTTACTAATGGCATTTGAAATCTGATACCATTTTTCTGCAGATCATCATACCTTGTTGCTTGCTTCCAGTAAAAACTTGCAGCATCGGTTGAAAGAATGAAGCCTGACAGGGGCTTAGGTTCTCCCTATTCTATACAAAATAGGATAAGTTAACATCAATCGGTTAAAGAGCTTTGCAAAAATATTCACAAAACTTGAATATAAAAAGAATAAACTCACATTGAAGCCACACAATGCAGTGTTTGGTTTGGATTTTAGTTAATAGACTAAAGAAGAATACAAGAAAGGTTTTTTGGTTCTCTTTTAAGCAGAAAAATAATAAAATATAAGTGCATCTGACTTCAACAAAACAAAATTAAATGATAAACATTTGGTTTTATGTTGATAAAGTAATTTAAGGTGGGATTCAGTTACTTTTATTAAACACTTATTTATTAAACATTGCAGGACCCCTGATTTAGTGGCTCAGTCCAGACATAAATTCCACAGAGAAACTAAGAAAAAAACATGAAATCTGACATTCTCTGATGTTCATATCTACATTGTCTGAGGATGAAAGGTCAGAAATCTTAGTTTCTAAAAGTGAAAAACTAGTAACCTTTGAATGACTTACAGCATTAATTGTTTCAGATTTTTATATATATAAAAAAAACATGGTACAAAACCATTTGGCAATTTCTCTCCCCTTTATAAAAATGCACCACTTTTTGTTTAGGTGAACTTTAAAACAGGTGTGAAAGTTTGCTTAGTTAAGCTGTTTTATATGATCTTTTCATTAGATCCGCTGCCATAACAGAAAAAAAACACGCTCAGTTGATTCAAGCTGCAGATTTATCCATTATATACTGTCAGTTTCGAAAGCCTTAATGATTAAAGCGATCTGCCATAAAATACTTAATATTTAACTCCAGTGGAATGCTTTTCACCAGAAGCAACTTTGGTGTATTGATTACACAAGGTTTGCTTTTTAATCGCGAAGTTTCCTCTAGGGAATACCAAGAAAAACATGGAAATAACTCATAAAGAAGCGTAACTTACCCCGGGCCACATTAAGAAACGCTTGAATTGACCATGAGGCTTCGGTTTCTTCCTCTGTATCGCAGCGGGGAGTAAACTGTGCGCTGAGCTGAGGTGTGAGCAGGTGTCCGCTTCTGTCCGTCTGCTGCAGCTCTGGAGCTGAGCTGGAGCTCCTTGGCGCGCGCTCTGTTGTGTCTCCACCACCACGTGAAGAGGCGCGCGCTTTCTAACAAAGGCAGCGGGTTAACAACCAAGCTCTAGACAAAAAACAGGGGCGTCAGCTGACACAATACAATACAGGGGCACAATAGGGCACAAAAAATGCGAGCGCGTAAAGCTGGCATTTTGGGTAATTATTAATTTTTTTTAAAGCATGGGCACAGATGCAAGCACGCAAGCAAATATTTTATAGCACTTATTTATTATTATAAAGCGTTAGAAATTGTACAATCAGATTGTTATTCTCTGCATCATTAAATATCTACCTGAACCAAACTGAATTGAATTGGCCCACTTGTGAACTTAAAGGAGAATGCCATTTTTTTTTTTTTTTTACATTGGCCCCTTGATTTTTACGTTATTACATCATGTTCTACTCAGCCATATGACTTTTGTGTCATTTGGAGCTGTTCCAAAGATTTTCAATTTTGTAATATCCAAGTAATGTCTTTCTATGGGCAACGACTTGAAGTCACAAACTAAACTGTTCATAATTTATCATTTATGGTACGCCAGCATTCATAACATGTAGGCAAATCACTGTCCCCCAGACATCCGCGGTTATAAATTTTATATTTATTTATTTTTAAAACAAAGCGGCGTATGTATGACATCATCCGCGCGCCAGACTGGAGTTGTGAGAGGCAGCCCGGGCCACAGGCGGCTACGCTCTACTCCTTCTATTCATTCGGCGAGCTAATCTGAATCGTTCAATTCCATTTCGAGAGCGAGATCATCTGTGGTAGTAGCACTAGACATCTTCCAGGCATGTGAGTAAAACTAGCAACAGTTCAGCGGACAGGAAGAATGAATGGTAGCTGGCGCGCACGGATGACGTCATAAACACGCCGCTTTGTTTTTAAAAGATATAAATATAAAAAATATAACCGCGGATGTCTGGGGGACAATGATTCGCCTACATGTTATAAATGCTGGCGTACCATAAAGAATAAATTATGAACAGTTTAGTTTGTGCCTTCAACTCGTTGCCCATAGTAAGACGTTACTTGGATTACAAACCCGAATATGTTCGGAACAGCTCCAAATGACACAAAACTCATATAGCTGAGTAGAACATGATGTAATAATGTAAAATCAAGGGCCCAATGTAAAAAAACGATGTTCCCCTTTAACTGTATATCTCTAATCCACTACTGATGAACGCACAGGTTATCTTCATTTAATATCTGTCAGCAAACATGAACTTGAAAACCGAAAACTTGAAATGTGAAACTGTAAAAGAAAAAAAAAACTAAACAAAAAAAGATCTGGAAGTTCATTTTTTTACAGTAAATGGTAGCATCTCGGCCAGTGGCAGCTGGTGGAGTTTTCTCCAGGGGAAGCTATAAATTCAAAATAGACATACAAAAAAAGTCAACCGTATACTAATTTATCACACCAGTGTATTTATATGAATGCCAACAACAACAAAAATTATAAAAACAAAACATAATTCCATTTTGTTTACATTTTGTCCATATATCTTGCCCCCCTGAGGCTTCTTGAAGGTAAATCTGTGTTTTGCATGGTTCAATATTGTGTCACAAACCTAAGAAAATAATGTACCAGTTTAATAATGGGGGAATCTATTGGTCAGCTTTATATTTTTGCAATTGTTTTCTGAGAAAGTGTTTATTTATTAGCAACTATGCAGATTAAAAAACATCTAGAAGGAGTAGACTATATTCTATTATTTTCCATGTGAATCCCAGATTGTTCATTCTTCTTTAAAGTGCTTTAAATCAGTCCTGACTCTCTTTATCCATGCTGGGTCACATCCTGATTTTTGAAAAAGGAGGCAGGGAAAGCAGAATAAAGCTATATGCTATATCCTGGAAAAGGATGTTTCTTGCACCATTTCTCTCCCTCTCTCCAATGCGTCTGCACTGTGGCGGGAGGCGGTGAGCATATCCACTTCCTGTCAGCTTGGGGCGCACCAGAGCTGGGGCAGATCTGTGAGAGATGAGCTGTGAAAGTGTAAAATAAATTAATTAGGGATGCACGATATAATCGGCCCCCTATCGGTATCGGCCTGTATCCGCCTTAAAACTGAATATCGAACATCGGCCACCCCACCGATATTTAACCCGATATTTGATCAGATTCTGAGTTTCTAAAGTCTAAAAAAAAAATAAAAATATTACTTCTTCTTCTTCTTTTTACAGACTAAAAAACTTCTAAAGACGAGGGAAAAAATATTGATACATTAAAATATCACAATATCTTCATATGCTGATATATTGCCATTTAAAAACACCATATCAATCTCTTTTACTAATGAAATATTGCTATATGTCATCGTTATGCTACGAAATCCCCCGAAAATTCATGAAATTTTGCCATATTTTTATATGTTGATATATTGACGCGGTATCGATCTATTTTACTAACAAAATCTCACAAGAATTTGCAAAATATCACGGGAGTTTGTAAAAGAAAGATGAAATTTCACGAGATTTTGAAAGTAAAATAGATTGATACCGCGTTTTTAAAAATCTATTTGATATCAGCATATGAACATATATTTGAGTATATTATTTTTCAAAGTGTCAGAAATGGATAACAAAACTGCTATTTTCAATGACTACTTATTTTTGTCCAGCTTTAACATCAGTATCGATATCGGTTATCAGCTACATGAGTTTTAAAATATCGGCATATCGGATATCGGCCAAAATCCCAATATCGTGCATCCCTAAAATTAATTTTAAAATCCCTGCCCCAGACTTCCCAGGCATACCCATGCACCGCAGATCCACAACGGGGCACATGCCCCTATGAAAAGGGTCTGCCGACGGCGATGACATAAACATACAGATATGACCCAGAAAACTGAACCTTTTAGAGGTAAACCTTCTATTTAGGTAAACTGGGTGGACTTTCCATGGAACACCAGTGGAAAGGTTCCCCCAGGGGCACACTGAGGGGATGGTTTGGGGTGCTGGAGCTTCTGTTCCCGTCCCTCTGATTTTGTTTTTAGTTCTTGTTGGAGCTAATTATTCTTTATTTCTCTATCCATTTGAATGGTGTTAATTCCTAAATGTAAATAATAATAAAAATATACATTTAGCAAATTAACACCATTCAAATGGATAAAGAAATAAAGAATAAATAGCTCCAACAGATATCATGGAACATCTCTTTAATAAATTATTGTAAATTGTGATAATATATGAGCAAGCAAGGAAGATTTTGAAATGGCACCCAGGGAAGTATTTTGTCAGGGGGTGGAACAGACATCAAATGAGGCAAAAAAAGTTGGTAAATTTGTTGTTCTCTATAAATGTCTTCTTCCTGTCCATTGTCCACCAGTGGACCTATAGGTAGGGGGACCAGGATGGGACAGGGTTTTTGTTGTTTGTTTCTTTTTTATAATGGGGCACATAAAAGAAAAACACATATTTTAAAAGATAGGGAAAATGTCTTTTCCAAATAAATATTCAAGTGTCAAGGTAAAAGATGACATTTTCTATCAAAGAATATCATAATTAGAAATGAATTTAGCATCATGTTTTCAGTGCAGTGGACAAAACAATAGTACTGGGGCACTGGCTCCTGTTGGCCCCTACTATAGAATTTTAAACAGCCAAGGGGTTTTCAACCAAGGCTGGCTGTTAGTGTATTAATCAAACAAACAACTTTATTTCACTGCATGGATTTCTGTCAGCTATTATATCAGAGTTCCACAAATCATAAAGATAGCCATCATCACTGCATTCCACCCTTACAGCTACAGTGTGTAGTAATTACAGGGATTTACTGACAGAAATCATATATATCATACATACATTTGTTATTTATTATCATCCACAAACTGAAAGTCTCAGTCCTAGAGGAGCGGGTCTCATATAAGAGGCAGACATTTTTGCTCAGCTCAGAGCTGACAAACTACTAACAAGTGACCATAGAGCTCGCCCATTACGCTTGAATGTGACGGCGGCAAGTTAGGCCTATAAAATCTAGATCGTATACAGACTAATAAAATATTATTTTTACAATAACCTATGTAACCAAATGTCATCATCACTTAAAAAAAAGGTGATGTGGAGGTTACGGAAGCCTTTTTGTACCATGACGGCCTCATTATTGTTGGAGAAGCAGTGAGGGGAGCTGTTCATGTCGCTGCAGCCTGACACTTAAATTTAGCTGAAGATCCAACACTGTAGCTTAAAGCTGTCTTCAGTCTATCATAAAGTCGGGCTGACTTTGGGTCCTTTCACAGAATAGGTCTACACATAGGCTGTATAAAGGTGCCTGAAGAGTTATGAGAAATGAAATCTCACAATATTTGATTTTTACTTCATACAGGATGTTCAACACAAATCTTTTAATCATCTTGAAGGGAATCCCTATTTCTTTTTTGTACATTTTCTCACCATGAGCCCGTTATTCTATTCTTCATGGTAATGTAGCTTGATTCTCTGGTTACCTAGCAGCACTGTTACTACATCCTGTTTCCTGGATTTAATTTCATTTATGACCATTAGCATTGTTCAAACATCCTGAATGTGATTCTATATCTTTCTTCTCTAGACTGATTATAACTCTATTGGTATTAATTAATGATACAAAACTACTAGTTAAGATAATTAGATATACAGGATGGTAACAAACTGACTCAGAGTTTTAAGTAGTTATTAAAAAATTTATGCGTGTCTGATTTGAAGCCCTAGCATGTATCAAACATTTTTATTGCTCCCCTTGAGAAATAGCTTTTCATTTATGTACCTATCTCCATAAAGTTTGATTAATAAGGCTGTGTTATATCAGAGTACTGTTTGTTAAAGGACAGAATAAGACTTTATCCAAGTCCATTGGCTGCATTTTGAGAGTAAGGAATAATTTTTTTTCTTCCCTGTGCCACTGATTGTATTAACTGAATATATTGTTTGCTTCAATACTATCAGCAACATCCAGTTTTTTGCTATGATGTACAGTAATCTATCATTCATTCATTAAAGCTTTAAATTTCATCATTTCTTAAATGTGGGTGCAGATTCAGTGAAATCTCGTTGAAGGAGACATAGGCGTGACTGTTATGGACTTATTTTTGTTCAAGCAGTGAAAAAATAAAATGAAACCAAATATTTTACTGTTTGTAATGTCTGTATTTCATCAGTTTATAACCAAACTCAGTCCCTCTGGATTCTTTTCGTGCTTTGGTCCACACTGCTGCAGCAACCAAGTCATAACTTCTCCTTTTTAATTATGGTTTGTCCTTCAGGACATAATCGCTCATCATTCCTTAAACTTGTCAGCAGTTCAATCTGAAGTCGCCTCTTCTAGATTTAATTTCTAAATCAGTAAGTGTGAAATTGATTTCAGACGAGCTTCGACTTTCCACAGCAGTGTGATTATGAAGACAGACGATTTCCACTCTTTGTCCGTCACTCTTTAAATGTCACTGTATCGAGCTGCTGTAAAGCAGTTTATTGGTCTCTATTGACTCTCTAGATTAAATTCACTCTGTGTGTGTGGAGAGACTTTGGAGAAGCCAAAAGATTAGATGATTTACATGACCAAATCCCAAGAGGCTGCTTGCAGGGATGCATTGTTAATCAGGATGTGCTTGTTGGTGTGAGAGCTCAGGATACAAACGATGGGAATGTTTTGATGGTTTAAAATAAAATCAGTAATCTGTTTGGAGGAATTTTCTTCATCACAATTATAGACCGTACACCCTTTAGTTGGTCATTTTTAAAGCTGAACCAGTCACAAAGCTAATGATTCAAAAGAAGTGTTGGTCTGGTGGCCGCAAATACACAAATTCTCATCTTTCACATAAAGTGTTGTACGTTCATAAGACCTTTAAACACAAAGGCCTTTGCTACGTTTTGAAATTTCACTAGAAATTTAGAAAAATGACCCCTTATTTACAGACTGCAACCAGAAAACTTCTATAGATGTTGTAGGATCGTGGATGCCTGTCAACATCTATATAAAATATCAAACTTTTTATCATTTATGATTTCAAAAAGACCCAACAATTGTTTCCCAATAGGTTTAAGCTTTTCAATTCAATTTCTTTTTTTTTTTTTCTTTCTTTTAATCAAATGAGAGGCTACTTCAGCCTGGGAGATAGTATATATCAACAAGGAGGGCTTGTTTATGCTCAATTCCTCCTTTGGGAAATGGAAAAGGTCTGTTAAAAGAGCTCTAACTAATAAGCGGACCAGATCTTGTGACATCTCCACACTTTTGTAGGCTATGCATCCTGAAATTAGCATTTTATGGTAAAACACCTGCAAGAATTTTGTGCCCAGTGATGCATGTCCTGTTACACACACACATTAGCATAGAATCCAGGGTTTAGCAAACACAGAACAAACTTACAGCATATCATGTCCGAGATTTCAAACCTAAAATCCCAAGACATTAAATTTCAAGGATGGTTGTCTTACTTTTTATGGCCATTTTCAAAAACTTTAAAGGCCTTGAACCCCCCAGATTCTAAAACGTTTAAGGATAAAAAAAAAAAAACCTATGCCTCGATTCAAAATTGGAACAATTTTATAGATTGTCAGAAGCTCCCAATGGCAAATCGGTTGTGTTAAAAATTATCTCTAGATCAAACCACGTTGAATGATTAGTGTTGTGATGTCGTAATTGAGACGTGTATGGGCATAGACGCAAAGTTTTGACAGAAGTGTGTCTTTCTAATCCTTTAACACCACCATCTTCGTCATGTTAAGCCCAACCCATACCCCAAGCTGTTTCATTAAACCTCTAAAAGTTTTTTTTTTATAAATACTTAAATCAACTTGTCAGAAAACAGCAGAGGTTGCATAAAACTGAAGGTGAGCATCTTTTTCTTCCGCCTCAATCCTTTTGCATAAACTCATTCATTGAAAGAAATGTCCTTTGCAGAATCAACCAACTGCTTTCACACAATAAGCCTTGAAAAGGTTTCGTGTTTACCGCTTGAGCTAGACTTCTGGAATGAATGTCTCTTGCTAGAAGAGGGCTTCCAACAACCTCTGGGTTTTGCAGACCATCTAATGGTGTTTTTAATGTACAGCTCGTTCAAGAGTTGACAAAGTAAATTCTGTTTGCAGAGAAGAATCAGCTGCAGCAGGATGTTTGTCTTTGTTGGCTGAACGTACAAGAGATGATCTAAAAGCCTGTGCTTTGAACTGGTTAAGACTTGAGCTTTCATATCATCCAAACTAGTTTTTACCTGCCTGCTATTTGTACAAAAATAACTTTGACTAGACAAGGAATCGTTAAAGAAAATACACAAAAGGGAATGGTTGGATAGACGTACAAGGAAGGATTAACCCTTTATAGGGCACTCAGTAAAATACTTTCAAGCCAATAGTGTTATTGGAAGCCAGGACAATACCTTATTACCTTTGTAACATTAACCAAATATGGATATTTCAATGGAAAAAAATGAATGTCACTGCAATAACAAGAAACGCCAACTTGCCCGAATATATTAAGAAAAATAACAAATGTGCTTCTATAAGAAATTAATGAAAAACACTGAAAGAATTATTTTTTTTTTTGGGTACAAAATAACCTTAGAGGCGTTAATGCTGATACTGGCACTTACATTTTTTAGTTTATAAACTGAAATACAATAGTTAATTTGGATTATTAACTTTCAACTTTACTTTTAACTTTTCAATTAGCTTTTACCTTTTTCCTTGACTTTTTTTTTTCCTACTTAATTTACATTAGGTAATATATATTTCATGGGCTCATCTAATTTGTCAAATGCAAAAATAAGATGTACAGCCTTGTAAGAGGATCTTTGCTGAAGGGCTGGATATCATAGATCTTGTGCTTCTAGACCTCACTGAGGGACGGGGGGTGTATACAAGTGATGAAAAATGTTAACTTTCCCTATAAAGGGTTTAGGATATACAGAAGAGGTGAAAAGGGAATAAGATGAGAGAATAAAATGCTGGTTTCAGGACAGACAGGAGGGGGGTGGAGGGAAGCGCTAGGACGCAATAAGGGTAGGAACATGTGCAAAAAAAAAATATGGAGGGAAAAGCTGACATTCAGACAACAGGTGAAGAAATACAATTTGGAAGCATATTTTCCCCTCTGATTGTTTTTAATGTACTTCTTCAGGCTTAAAAAACAAAAAAGTGAAGGAAAAAAAAAAAAATCAGAATTCTCCAGTTCTTGGCTTTTCACTCTAAACAGGTGCTGGAATAATAACAAGCCTCTTAAACATTGTGTTTTAACATGAACATTGGATTAGTGTTTGAAGTCATGTTGGAATGGCATCCAACCAGTGGTTGGAATTGCTTAACATCGGATGTCTGTGGACGGCCTCAGGCAGAAGTGAAAGTCGTCCCTTCCAGTCGGTTTCCTTTACCCCAAGTTGAACAACAAATCTTTGTTCCTCTATGTCATGACTTTAGAACATGTGCAACAGAGGAATACTTCACCTCTGAATTTTCAGGATACGTTTGAATGTTGCAGAGAGGGCGAGTATGAAATATGACAGAAAAAAAAATAAAGGTTCAAAAAGCAATGTTCCTTTTATAGGAAAATTTTAATAGTTATTCAATGTTCTACATTTTACAGTAAATATACAATTAATACAATTACAAACTTGGCTTAGTTATAGTACTAAGATCACTAACTGATCTTAAAAAAAAAAAAAAAACCCTCAAACAACAACAAAAATACATTTAATAAAAAAAATAAAAAATAATAAAACAAAACAATTTACACTTCATATCACAAGCCTGACGCTGGTCCTTCACTCCGGACCAAATAGCTAACATACAATTCACTTCTCTCAACGCTGAACAGACGTTGGGCTTCAGTTTCAAACACAAACCTTACGGTAACAGAGATACCATTAGCATGTGCAAACTGGGTACCAAACTAAAAACTTCCAAAGATGGGGTTGTTCCTATTACTCGATCCGAGCGCGATACAAGTACACGTTTGTGTTTTTTTTTCTTTTTTTTTTCCTTTTGGAAGACAAGGAATTTTCCACTTTTTGCATCACATTTAGTGTCAAATCAAAACCAAGAGAGACCTCTGACAAGTTAAAAACAAAAATAAAAATCTGCAGCAAGAACATCAAAGACAATTAAAAGCCTACTATTCAGTTCAATAGTAGTGTTGTAATCTTCACCCATGAAAAACTAAGACCCAGAAACTGCAAGGCAGCAGGAAAAAAAAAAAGAAACAAAGCAAAGTTTAGAAGTAGGAGGAGGTAATAAATCTTTCTGGTCATATTTTCACTCTGAAAAAACAATTAACCTATTGGAAATGTAAGAACGGACCGAATGAAGGGGAGAAATGTTTAAAGATTAATGTTTAAGACTACTTTGCACACGTCCCTCCCAGAACACACCAACATGTTATCCCTTTCATTTAAGTGCAAATTGGAAAAAAAAGGTGAAAAAAAAGGAATGAAGTGAATTATATAGGCAGGCCCATTTTGGCCTTCCCTGACAAACAGGAATAATTTAAGAAATTTAGTCCTGTTTCTCGGCTCCACCTCTGTGGATCTGCCCTATAGTGTTGGCACCATGCATGTCCTGGTATTCGATAATCTCGTCAGAAACCAGTAAAGAAGAAAAAAGAACCCTAAAAGCAGGTATTGCATTTTCCAATTAAAACAAACTTTTTTAGTAGCAAACTTAATTTTTTTCATTTTTGGAATAAAATCACTGACAAAAATAAACAATAAATCGATTAATTTAATTAAAAATAATTCTAGACTAGTTCAGTGACCATGTTCTGTCTTAAAGACATTTTTGATAAGATTTGATCCAGAAAAAACGCCACCATCTTTGCTAGATAGATTTGTAAAAACATATTTAGTCTCACTGCAGATGGCTGCAAAATTTTTGTTTTACTTTTGCAGTTTAGTTGTATAAACATGTGAAGTTTAAAATTCTTGCCCATCAGTTTTAGCAACCCCATATTAAAAAAAAAACTGATGAAAAATGTAATCATTTATAAGAATGTATAAGAAAATAAAACTATTTTCAATTACTAGTCTCTGGTGAGAAAAATGAAAATACCACAGCATGCACAGACCAGGTTGGTCCACAGCTCAGAAAACTCTTAGTGCAACAAATAAGAGACTTCATCTTCAGTCCTGTTTTGTTACCGTAGAAAATAAGTTCTGGAAATGTCCTTAAAAGACCATTTGGATCATATAATGCCAGTGCTCAAGATACAATACCCTATCCTATGCATGATGGCTCAAAGCCTTCAACCATAAAGATGCCATTTGTTGACTTTGTCACTAGTGACATCTAGTGTTAAAAAGGGTCAGTTGATTATTAAGAATTATCAATAAGACTGCAGTTCAGGTGAGGGTGGGAAGTGTAGCAAAGGTCAAACTGACATTAATCTGCAAGAGAAATACGCTCAATCAAGTGGAAAATAAAACACTAAAGGGACAGATATTTGCATCCCCAAGGAAGTGGAAATTAAATGTCTAAAGGAGGGATGCAAAATAGCCCGGAGTAACACAGAGGAAACAGTAAGAGTAGAAAGTCAGACAGGTAATAAGAGTCAACAAGGCAAGAAGAAAGAAAAAGGACAGCAATAGGAAAACACAGATTCCACGGGAAGCAAGACGTAACACAGAATCAGCTCACCAATTATAAGAAAGAAGGAACTGTTAAGGACTAAATGAAAATTCGTGAAATATGGCACAGGGAAACAAAAAAAAAAAAAAAAGTGTGGAAGCTGAGGGTTTTTAAAGACATCATTCAAAACCTCATTTCTGCCCCATCAGCACTACGCCCCTCAGCATGTCTGAATTCAGGCAGCAGTTTTTTTTAAAACCTGAGAAGCTGGAGCCAAACTCTACAACTTACAGACAGCGTGTTAACTTCTACCCTCAGAGTGAAAGCCATGTTTAGGACAGAGATGCAGAAGTAGAAAAAAATAAACCCAAAAGAAACATTAAATAAAATAAACAAAGCACAAACAGTAGCTGCCACATTAATGCAACCATGCTTAGCTAGAAATACATTACTGTACCACTTGCTCTTTAAATATACTGCATGTTTTTTTTTAAACCTAAAACTCCAATGCTATTGTAAGACACCTCAATATTATGCATACCCATTACGCTTAACTGACCAATTGGAGAGAAGGAGAGAGAGAAAAAAAAGAAAAGCAAACAAGGATTTAATTCGGAAATACTGACAATAGTAGTGGTTGGTTTAACAATCTTAATGTAGAGTAACATCACTGCTGTCGCAAGAAAATTGCGTTTTTTCCCCCCTTCCTATTTAGTCTTATTTTAAATCTACAGGATCTAATGAGGTTAAAACTCTTCATTATTATCCACCAGATATTCAGCAAAAAGCGCATTTTTCTCCGACAGCGGCATTATGTAATATCTTCTTAAGAATTAACCTACTAGTGTACAAATATCTTGACTAATAATAATTCAAACACTCCACCTTATTGTTTTAATTATGATATAAATTGCTTCTTCCTCCATTTTGCACTACAAAGCCTAAGTACCTGTTACTTAAAATGTAATTAAGATATAGTCAAGTTGTTTTTTTTTCCTTTATCTTAAACGTTGTGCAATAATTCCTCACAAGGTTATTTAATACCCCAAAACGTCTGATATGTTCTTAACTTCTTTGCAGTATTAATTATTGAACGTCGCGATTTCCTATATGGATATTATTACGATAAGCGATATTTGAAAAACAAGTTGAACATTTTCAATAAAATAGTTACTGTACGCCACCAGCTGAAGTTTCTCTCTTATTTTATTGCAATAATCAAACCTCACCATCCGCAGTATATGCTTCTTGTAATAATCTGTACTGTACAGGTCTTTAAGTTAAAAGATGCGATTAGGCATGGGCCGGTACAAGATCCAGAGTGAACCTTGAGTGAATTTGCACAGAAACTTATATGGAAAACAGTATGTAACTGCTCGTATTTAAATACAAAAAAGCAACAGTTATTCCTACAGCTGCTAAGAGATTAATTAACATTTATAACCATGTTATAAACTTTGACCATTGTATTGATACTGTAACTTGCTCCCAAATATAGAATTGGATTTTTTTTTATATATTTTAGAAATTTAAGATAATACGGCAGAGAATGTTCCAAATAGGGCTGCACATCTTGAATTGCAATAATGGGCGCAGTTCTAATGCTGATAATATCCTAAATGTAAAAAGAAAATGGATGCAATAATTGGTTTGCTGATATATCTTTTCCATGATTCCTTTTCATCAAGAAAAGAAGATTTTAGTTAGCTGCAATTGATAACTTCCTAAATTGTGTAGCACTGTTTAAAACATATTCCTGAGTGGCAAAAATTGTCTTTTGTAATCAAGACAGCCAGTGAAATGTAGCAGGCTTTCCATCCCCAGCAACAGGTGGGGAGGGGGCTCCATGCAATAGTTATCTGATCACTGGGGTACTTATATCTAAATAAGAGAACTTTAACCCACAGGAGTGATACAATTAGAAATGATTTATTTTTAACTTTAGCTGCTTATATCTGAATTGAGGGAACCGGCCTATGCCCAGAGGCAACTTCATCTTTTTATTCCACTTTTTTTGCTAGTATTTAATCCTGAACAAATGCCACACGCCTCATTTAAACATTAAACCCCACAATCCTTTTTTTAACCCTCTTCACTAATCTCCTCCAGGCGAGGACAAACAAAGAGGTTTGGAAGTGAAAGCATTGCAGCCCTCTTCTATTCTACCTCCACAAAAAACATTAAAGTTAGTCTGTGGCATTCCTGTCGGAACCAAAAGGTTTCCTATCATTCAGCAGCAGTGGATCAGACCGAGGTCTATCCATCATTGGGTTTTACTTTATTGGCCCTTCATTAAATTCGCCTCATCGTGTTGTGTGGGTTTATTAGTCCTCGCCTGGGAAGTGGTAGGAGGAGATCACACAACCACAGCCAGAAAAGCAATCTAGTCTACATAAATAACCATGTGTCCTTCTCTTTAACCGAGAAGCGACAAAATCCTGAGGTATAAATGTTTTATACCTTGAAAGAAAAATATCCTTGCCTGTGACTGTGTTATATCCTCCTACTGCCGTTTCCTAGTTTCTAAAAAATCCTTTCCAAATCCCTTCTCTGATGTCTTGCAGGTCATTGTGGTTCTCTTTTTGTTTCTTTAACCTGGAGTTACTGTACAGTAAGTGCCACTAAGAGTCTGTATCTGTTAATGTGTACCCTCCCCCCCAAAAAAATATTACTTTAAATGCACCAACCCTCCCACATTAAAGTCACTTATGTGACCCAAACTAGCTAGGTTAAGGTTCAAATGTTGTCCAGACATACCTGCCTGCATAGCGTGTAGCATGCAGTCGGCGAATCGTTTCGTTAGCGTGTACTAGGTACAATGTAATGCTGACACGATGGGTCGTGGTCTGTAAGTGCTCACAGCACCGACTAAGGTAACAGACGGGATGACGGACATACAGCTACTACCATTTGGAAGACGAGCGAGATCGGACTGAACACCCCCCCCTCCCCAAAAAAAATTAAATGGGATGAAGATGTAGGTTGGAAATAATAAAAAAAAAAGTAAAGCAATTGAGGTGTGTAGATTAAAGGATGCAAAAACACAAGTATTACCCCTTTAAAAGAAAAAAAAAAAAGAAAAAAAAAAAGAAATATAATCTGATGATTTTTAAAACCCTGTGCTGATATCTAGTCGTTAGAAAATTTGGCAGCATTAGTCAATAGTCGCTGATAATGGTGATGATGATGCCCAATGTTTTCCGGCGGACCGAGCGGCTGCTGGCGGGAACCACACACGCACCAGCACAACACAGAAACAGGAGCGACCCAAGCAACCGACCGACACCTGTGATTGGGCGAGAGAGTCCTTTCTGGAGTTCCAATGGCAGACGCGGCAAAAAGCTAAAAAAAAACAACTGAGGAATTCAAATGAAACCATCAAGAGAAAGTACAAAAAATAAAAAGAGGGTAATGACTGGTTGGCAAACAAACGGAAGTGAAAAGAAAAGTAATGAAAAAAATTAAAAGCAGCCTTTGTAAAAACATTAGAGAATGTCGCATAATAATAATAGTAAAGTGGCGGTTGCACTTTAGTTTTGTTCTTGCAGACAGGTGCCGAGTTCTCATGGTTACCGCTGGGAGCTCGTGTAATATTTGAGCTGTTGCATACGATGGTGGACTCCAGATCTGGTGGGGAGAGCAGAGAACACGAGGACAGGCTGTTAGTGAGTTAAAAGGGAGAAGCAGAACAGAAACAGAAGGTGGAAGCATCTTCTTGGTGGATACTCACATGATGGGTGGGTTCTACCAGTGAGGCGGTACGTAGCTGTAACCGGGCGTCCCTTGGGGCCTGTAGGTTGGCACAGTAACTGGGTGTGCTCCTATTGGTGCATGCTGGGGCGTTGTCAGCAGGGTCCCTAAATAGATTTAACACCACCATTAATACTAAAGCATTTCTTCTGCTATATCTTCTATAAGCCTCATAGAAAAACTAAAACCAAGTTGACTTTTACTTTTAACCACAGACTTTCTTAGAATTGATGCGAATGATCAAAATGAAAAGGTACATACAGAGCTGAGCAAAAGTATTCGACTCCTTTGAACTTTTCAACCTTTTGCCACGTTTCAGGCTTTAAAAATAAAGATATAAAGTTGTTATATTTTGTGAAAAAACAACAAGTGGGGGATAATCATGAAGTGGAACAAAATTTATTGAATATCTTTAGCTTTTTTTTTTAAGAAATAAAAAAAGTGAAGAGTGGGGCGTGCAAAATGAATCAGCATTTTAATTCAGCAAACTCGCTCCAGAAGTTCAGCGAGGATCTCTTAATGATCCAATGTTGACCTTGACCTGAATGATGATGAAAAAAAAACTGATAGAGACATACCGCAAGCGACTTGTAGCTATAATTGCAGAAAAAGGAGGCACTTAAAAGGATAAACTAAAGGGGGGTGAATAATTGTCTACACCAATTTTTTTAAACTTTTTATTGGTTAAAAGCGTTTAAAAACAGCCCCAAAATATCATTCCACTTCATGATTGTGTGCCACTTGTTGTTGATTCTTCATAAAAAGTTTACATTTTAATTCTGTGTGAAGCCTGAAATACGGCAAAAGGTCAACAAGTTCAAGGGGGCCGAATACTTTCGCAAGGCACTGTATATTTGGGAGCATCGCAATGCAAGCATTGGTTTCAATGGAAATATTTTTTGTTTGGGGGCGGGGGGTGGGGGGTACCTGATCAAAGCTGCTGGGAAGATGGATGGAGCTACACCTGAAAACCGGCAGTAGGTTCAAAAAGCCTTGAGACTCACCAACCTAAATAACACCGACTAAACCCTGCAGTTTAGTCGTACAGTGTGAGCCGTGTAAGCAGTACAGTGTGAGCTGTGAGCTCACAGCTTAAGATTTATGTTCAGCCCGACGCTGTCATGCAATCTACCTGCTCACACTTTACAACTAAAAAGCATGTCGGACTCAGCTCCGCAGTGAGATGGAGCTGCTCTGACTCGTCTATCCAGAAGCCAACCAAATAGAAGGGGAATATAAGGCTCACTATAGTGAAACGCGTTGCCTTGGCAATTTGTGTAATTTTGTGCTGAAAGTCCTAAAAAGAAAAGGAGACAACGTATTTGGAAAAAAGACATGGCTGGGCAAACGCGGCTACTACGGTCTGTCAAGTTTACAGACAGAACTGCATTTCACTCATTGCATCAGTGCCACGCTGCTGTGTTTACAGAAGAATCCTTCTTTGCACATGCGCACTGATCGATTTGCCCACGATGGTCAGGACGGTCAGGCCCACGACATGTTTGATTTTCTCCCGACCTCACAATTCCTGATTGGGAGGTGGTCGTGAGAGTCGGAACGCCCCTCGTAACCCCCTGTACACTACACGACTCACGATCAGGCTGAAAGTCTGTCCGATCGAAAGAATCTTGCACGCCTGAAAAATCGCCCCGAAAATTGCACACTGTACGCCCGGCTTAAATCTGACCATTTAACCTGCCTCAGCAACAAGCAACCTACTCCAATCTCAAGGTGTTAAAAGCAGGTGGAGACAAAAACTCAAACAATCTGATTAATCTATTACTGAAATAGTCGTCAATTAATTTAGTAATTGATTAATCGTTTACTGGAGACACTGAAACATGCCTTTAGCTGACAGAGCAAACTTAGAGCAGTTATTTTACCAAAATTGTAAAAAAAAAAAAAAAAAATTAATAAAAAAATAAAATAAAAAAAACTTTGTCATGCTCTAGATCAGGCATGCCCAAAGTCGGTCCTCAATGGCCACCGTCCTGCAGGTTTTAGAGGTTTCCCTGCTTCAGCACAGCTGATTTCCATTAATTGCTGATTAACAAGCTTTTGCTGAACTGCAATCATCAGAATAAGTAGGGAAACCTCTAAAACCTGCAGGACAGTGGCCCTTGAGGACTGACTTTTGGCATGCCTGCTCTAGATGCTCCAGAACTGTTCAAGTGGAATAGTTTTAGTTTAACTGGGTTTAAATTGTGTAAAAAAAAAAAAAAAAAAAAAGTCTTTAAGAAACGTATAATCTCTCAATAATATTTGAGAGATTTTCTATTAGCAAAAAGATTGTTACAGTCCTAGTGGAGAAACAACCCAGAAACTTACTAAATAGAACAGCATCAGAGCAGCTGAATATAAATAAATAGCAAACTTGAAATTATTTTGAGGGAATAAAAAAAAAAAAAAAGGAGTTTTTCTTTTTTATAAAAGAATATAATCTACTATGTGTTTTATGATGGTGAAGATTCTCAGTCATCCAGGTCATAGTCATTCCAAAAAAGTAAAAAAAAAAATATCTGCTGGACTTTGTTTCCAAGTTTGTAGATGTTTCCCTTCCCATCCAGGAAGCTTTTTCAATTTAAAATGTCAGAAATAGCATCTAGTTCGAGGCTTTATAGAGTGGACCAAAAACCTAAAAAACATGCTAAATGAACCGGACGAACGGGTCCTTCCCTTTGGAATGGGGGTCGTTTGGGTTCTTCGTCAGCCTGCAATACCCAATACCTGTCTATGTCTCTGAAATGGGGGTCGTTGGAGGGAATTTTTTTGTGGGCATTCGTGTTATGTTTTACTTTAAGTTTTGACTTTAATTTTTTTTTAATTGTTGCAGCAGCGTCTCATGTCACGAACATCACATTTTCATGTGAAATGAGTTTTTTGTCCTACCTGCGCTCATGGCCATGGTTGTCCCAGCTACCATTCCCATGGTAGGCATGCCGTTGTTGCGAGGGGCAGGGACAGGGACCGGGGCGGGGTAAAGGGCTGTGGAGGGGATGCTGTTGGGCTGCACCACGGTGGTGTGATGGATCACATGGGGTTGAGCTGCATACACTGGTTGGGTGTAATACGCTCCCTGTCCGGGGGAAACAGACCAAGAAAAGGCTTAGATTTAGGACAGAATGTAAGGTTCATAAGAGAACAGAAGTATTTTACTAAAAGTTTTTAAAAGTGTTTACTTGAGACATGAAGCTGTGGCGGTTAATAGGTCAATAAACTAACCAACTAAAAAATCTATTTAAACGTTAACAGTTTTCAGTAAGTGACCCCTGTAAATTTCATCCTGCATGAGAAAAATAAAAAAGATAGAAATGGTTTATTAAATCCAGTCTTGTTGTAAAACATCCGATATGATTACGCATTTCTGTCTTTAAGATAAAAGAGTCTTATATTCAAGCCATGGCGCAGACATGCAGGCCATTTGGTCACAAGTTTGACAAAAATACTCAAAAAAGTTGTTTTTTTAGTACATTGAGAAATAAAGTCCTCAAAAAACCCGCAACTTTTCACTATCATGTCCTCTGTGAGAGCCTTACCTGTGCGTAAAGGTTCTGCTGAGGGTAGGCACTGCGGATAGGGTACATGGCTGTGGGGTACGGGGTGGGAGTGGGGGTGTAGGGGGGAGGTGCTCCATTGGACTGAGTGGGGGGCACTTTGTACGGGGTTCCCGCTGGGGTATATCCTGAAAATATCCAGAAGTAGACAAGATAAAAGAATGATGGGATTTCAAATTATTATTGTATTATACACAATTATATATATATATATAAACATATTTTTTAAAACATGGTGTCTAGGAATGGATCTTGGAAGCAGAATAATTGCCTAGTTCTGCACGTATTTCACCCTTTTCAGCGAAGCCTGAAGCACTTCTCCAGAGAAAACAGCCACTAACTGCATCCTCAGCCCGAGCTGATAAGAGCAATAAAACCTAAAGCAGTAACTGCTGATAAGATGCAGAAACACTCTGAGGAAGCTAAAAAGGAAGTGCAGAGTCAGGTGATTACTATATCCAGCTTGTCACTGTGAGCCGACCTCTTCCTGAATATTAGCTATTGTTGCTCCTGTGACGCTGCTATCAATCAACCAAGCAACTATAAATTGAGAAACAAAAGCCTCAAAGCAGATTACAATCAAAAGTGCAAAGAAAATCCAAAACTAAATATAAACAGCAATTTCTTTCAGGGACTGTATAAGAAATAAATCACATTAATGTCATAAAACCACTGCCCAAGGGGATATCAATTTTGCACCAGCCTGCACTTCTCCAGAAAGGTAGGAAATAACAGATTATTCTTTTGGATTTTACTCTTTATGCATTTCTTATAAAAAACCACTAGATGGGGACTGGTTGTATTTATATAGGAGCTGAGCCTCATTTAGCAAAGCGAAGCCCATCTATCCTAAAAAATAAATCTGATTTAGCAGGCTTAAACTGGAGCTTTAATCAAAGCCTCCTTTTACTGAGCAGAGAAAAGAAAGTGTGTAATCAGTAACTATGGCCTACATTTGGCGAATAATTCATACTGTAGAGAAACAGAGGGGGCATTAAATAGTTTTACAGTAAATCATCGCTTATAAATTACATCTCTATCTGAAAGCCTGACATTTCAGTGAAAGCGTTTGTCTCATTCGGCTTCATTCCCATGCAGTCTGCTCTCAGAGCGGGTGCAGTACCTCTGAGCAGCCACCTGGAGGAGCTTGAAGGTCAAACATGCTACTAGCTAGCTGCTGCATAGCTTATGAAAAGCCCTTCTCTCACACAAGGACAAGGGAACAAAGAGAAGCTGGAGCTGCTCTCTCTCTACCAGTGCTTGTATGTTGGAGCGTGTGTCTGCATGCCTGCTCTCACGGTCATTCATCGCTCCAGCGTGCATGCAGGGCTTTAAGGGACAATGGTGGTAGACTGTTACACAAAAGAAGGGCCGACAGAAAAAAAAAAACCCCAATAAAACAAAGAAAAAAAAGCAGTCTGTTAATGGTCTTGAAGAATAAAAGCCCGAGGTGCGTTTCTCCACAGCTGGCTTATCTGGGACTATATTCATCTTAAAGGGACAAGAAAATGGACTATTTTAATCGCATCATAAATTAGGCCCAACAGAAAGGCGCCTGCAAGCATACAATAATACAGCAGCAGCAGATGATTTTTGTTGGACTTCTAAAAGATATAAACCAAACTAAGGGAGGGGAAGAGAGGAGGCAGCTTCAAGAGGAGCAGCAGAGGACTCTAAAAGCTGCTCCTTCCTTTGTTACAAATGAATCAAAGACAATAGGACAGCCCTGAATTCCCCTTGCTAAGGAAACAGTCTTCATTAAAAGACAAATTGTCAGAAAGCATTAGCGCTGTGCTAGCACCATCTTAATTCAAAACAACCTCACAGGAAATGGATCAAAAGTCTTTTCTGATTAAGATTCTTTCCCCTCATACAATCGTGTCTGTTAATTTAAGGAAAAATCAAAATAATTCAATTAATATCCAATTCATTACTCGTGAGGATTATTCATCAAGTCTGGAAACAAACAGCACATTGTAATGCTGAGCATCACGTTTTAAAATCATGTTTTTTGTTTATTTTATAAGCATAAAAAAATCCAGTCCTAAGAGCTACTAGGGGTGTAAATAATAATCGTTTTGTATCGATGCATCGATCCAACAGCCAACGATCCGATGCATCGACACGTCCGCAAGATAATCGATTCATGTTTTTTATCCATTTGCTCCTGGGCGTAATTCTCCTCCTGTGCTGCGGTGGCGCTAAACCTATTTTGCCCTCCCACCGCGTTTCCTGGTTATCCTGCTGCAGCAGTGTGTTGCAGTGAGCTTGACAGACATTTTTAAATTATGCTCAATATTGTAGCGTGGTCTGCGCTACACACTGTGGGTCTAGATACGGCCGAGGCGGCGAGGAAGTGCGGGCGAGTTTAGTCCGACGACGGAGGGAAATGAGGGCCAAAAAGAGCGGAGATCCAGGTGGAAAAAGGCTGCCAGCGTTCTCGCGCACCTCGCTCTTCTAGCGGGTCAAACTTCACGAGTTGTTTTCCGCAATTTCGGTCATAAAAACAGAACACGCTGGCCTCCTGTCTGAGGTCGGCTACAATTTGGGAGAGGAGCAGCGGAGCGTCTCTCAAGGGGGCGTGGCGTGCAGTGATTATGTATTTTTGCAGTACTTTTTGATACAACTTTTCTACTTCTGTTATTTGCTGTTGTTTCTAAAAAAAAAAAAAAAATGCATAACGATGTCACAGCTTTCATTGATTTATTTCAAACTTGAAACTTTGTTTAGCCTGTAAGGTGTACAAAAAAAAAAAAAAGGAAGAAAATTTTTTTTACTGATTAATCGATTCATCGAATCGTGGTGTATTCTTGAGTATCGAAAATAATCGAATCGTTGGGTCAGGAAATCGATACTGAATCGAATCGCCATGATGGATGTGATTTACACCCCTAAGAGCTACCATCCTGCAACTTTTAATTCCATCTCTGTTCCAATAACTCTGAATTTAACTTAATGAATTCTGAATTCTCCCAGCATGCCCCTCTGCTCAGCTGAGGCTTGTTAATCAGCAACTCATTTCATTCAGCTGTGATGGAGAAGACACCTAAAAGCTGCCGGATGGTAGATCAGGAGGACAGGGTTAGGGCATCCTTCTAGAAATGGGGTGTTTAGAACATTAAAGGGGCATTAAGATAAATGCCACCACTAGGCGGGGCTATTGAGCACAGTCGCTAGACAAAAATAAGATGTGTAACAAGCATTGCTTTATGATTCTGTTAGCAAGAGAACTTTCTGGTAAATGTGTGTTTCAATCCTCTGGACTCTCTGAACCATTTTCCTTCTACTCTAGGGTGCTGTGCAGGGATTTTCTAGACAAAGGAGGAGCGGAGCTCTGACTGACAGCTGTTTATATGGATGGATGTACCTGTATGTTTGGCAGGCCCAGCATGTAAACAACAGTCTGGAGAACAACACAGAGATTTTGTGTGACCATATTCCATCTACAAATATACACATACTACTTTACATTACTATTTGTTTTAATTATTTCTATCCAAAAGAATAAATAAATGCTCCTTTCAAGGGTTGTATTATTTTAAATGTGTGATTAATTTCAGAAATATAATCCAAGAAAAACAAAAAAAGTGGGAAAACATTCAAAAGCAGGAGATGTAACCACTGCATTGTGGAAGCTCAGAATATTCCATGAAGGGGAAGATTGGTAAGATGTTAACTGTGCCTGAGCTTGAATAGAAATGCGTAATAAATCCACATTAAATGTTAGTTACCCTGCTTAAACTCAATTACTGAAATAATTTAACTCAATAATGTCTTCTTTTAGATGCGCTGTAGTTTTAAGAAAGGATTAAATTCATAATCTAAATACAAATTAAGGTAGAAAATAATGTGGCAGCTGAAACCGTAAACAGTTTTACTCCCAGCTCTGAGTTCTGACCTCTCAGTTAATTAAACTGGGAATACATCGTGAATAATGGTGCATTTTTTTCCCAGCTGTACTGATCAATATCTGGATAATGTGTGTTATTGTCCAGCTCTAGCTTTTAATATATCCATTGAAATCTTCTGAGTTCTTTATACGTTGTTTTTTTTAAATTGCAAAACATTCAAACCTGTGTTATCAACATAAACCACAAGCAGCTAATGTACGAGAATGTGCTTAATTTGCCTACAGAATTGAAACGCAACGTAAAAAAGAAAAGAAAAAACATTAAGTCAACTGAAGAGGCAAGTAGTTAGAAGATGTAACCAGACATCATTTAAGAACTTAGCTCGAAAATCTAACTATAAGACTTGAGGCTTCAAACTACGATCTTGAAAGTAACTTTTTAAGGCTCTGCAGTAACCCTGACACGTGATAGAGGAAGCTTTCAATACAAATAATACATACTAATAAATAAAAATAGAGACTTCTAAATAAAGCTCTTCTGATGTTCCATTTTAAAAAACCAGACAAGTTTGTCAGATATGTTATAGAAAACATTGATGATGACAGAAAAAAAAAGTCTGAAAGCAGGAGCTCACCTGGTGGATACCCAGGACTGCCTGTTTGATAGAGGTTGGGAGTGTAGGTGGGAGCTGTGGCTTGATAAGCTCCTGGATAAGCTGGAAGAGGAAGATCACAGGTGGGAAGGAAAATGTTAAAAACTTCAGCTTAACAAGCACAGGGAACACCCAACACACAAATACTGTAAGCGTACAAGACTAAAACAGGATGTGCACAGATGGCAAAAGCAAAAAAAAAATGTCTGCAGCAATAACACGGTCGGCTGAACGTGTCTAACATCCACCGATTAGGCAGACGGGGCACACCCGCCAATATGCTGTGGGAGGAGATAAATTCAGAGACATTAGCAAAGCAGAAAGACGCACGCGAGGGGGTAGACACACACCCCGGTGCGTCATCAATCACAAGTCAGGCAAAACGACGAGGCTCTGACCTGGGAAAGAGCTTTCTGGGATAAAATACAGAGTTATAGAAAGGTGCCAATAAACACGCAGGAAACAAACAGGCATGCTTAAAAATACACAGATCATCCTTTGCGTTGCTCTTAGCAACAACAGAAACTGAAATACTTTTTAAAATGGCATTTCTTACTTCAAAAGCCATTTAATTGGAGACTGAATTGGACTGAATTTTATTTGAATTAAACTTAGGCTGCACTTAACTGGACTGGAATGGCAGGATAGTATTAAAATGAATAACTGATTTGACTATAGATCAAATTGGATCCATTTGCCTTATAAAATGCACTGAACCATAAAAATGTGGGAATTTTTTTAAAGAAATCAGGTTTGAAGGCATTTCTGATAAAGGACCAACATCACTATCAATAATAGTTTGTATTGGATTGTTCTTATGATGTATACAACTACCATCAGATTCATTCATGACTCCACTCCAGTCTCTACTGTGTATATTAAAGCTGCTAGTGCAGAAGTGAACTGTATGGATTTTGTTTATGTACATAAAAAGGGTGGAGTAGGGGCATAAAATGTTTTTTTTTTTTTTATCTGCTAGCATTTGAGTGCAGGTGTGTGCTTCAATTCCATCGTGAACATCATCTTTTGTGTGACCATCAAAGACTTGTGTTTCCCTCTCCCCAACTTACCCATTCCAGTGTCATACTGGTTCTATAGCTTAGTTAGCAGCAATGCCGTTTCCACTGCTGCCAACAAATTGCAGCAACGGATCCCAACTCTGCTGCAACTTTTCGCTGGACCAAAAAAAGAGATTCATGAGGACAACATACTGGCCCCAAAACAGCATGAGCTCAATGCTTTGAATAGTTTTCAGCCGTTTATTTCGATATTGCCTGTCACAAATCTCTATGTAAATCCCTGCAGTGCAAAGAGCTGAGACCGACAACCACTGTAAACAGCTGGAAATATTTCCAAATCCTAAAAAAAAAAAAATCACCAATGGAGGTACAAACGGAGGAGGAGGGCTGAGGGAGGCTCTGTTTGTAGATGCTAACCCACATGTAGAGCTATGCTACAAAGAGCTCTGGTTTCTAGCTGAAACTGGTTAGTATTGCGTGAAAACATTTTCTCAGATCTGTTAATGATGGGGTATAACAGCTTAAAGGGGATTCACTGTCACTTTAGACAAGTTTTCTTTATCTTCCGATTTGATTTTGATTTTAAGAAAGCCTCTGCTAACGGTGCTAGCTCTATCTAACAGTAAAATGAAGATCACAAGCCGACCTCATTTGTTTTAAACGATATCTGTGGCATTGTTTAAATTTACACCAGTCAAACACAACTGGATTAAAACCAACCCTGGTAGTGTTAGACTTCCAGTGTTTACTCTGAAGGTTCCCATCCAGTAAGACCTAACTACATCATCAACCCAGCATGCTTTGCACAGCTGAAAAATGGCGACCGCTGAAATATCACCATGGATGTCTATTTTAAGTAATAATACGTTTTTACAACAAACTGCAATAGAATAGGAAAATTAAAATATATTTAGGCCAACTTGTTCAACTAGTAATTGATCTCTTTAAGATACCACTACTAGCTGTAGCAGAAGTTGGTTTATCAAAGCAGCAATTTTGTTTATAAACCATAAATGTATTAAAAAGGGAGGGATCCATGTCTTAATATCCACTTAAATGATTGCAATGGAACCAGTTATATCACAGTGATCAAAATAATCCTAACCTTTTTTCCTAACTCAAACTATAAAACACTTAAAGGAAGCCCAATAACATTGAGGGTAGTGGATCACTGAATAAATTTGAATGTAAAGTTTTTTTAGTGATTTATAGAAAAAAAAAAACTTTAATATAAAATAAATAGAAAAACAAGAAGTGGGACATTCAAGCAGTTTATGACCAAAAGACCGATACAAGGGATGATGTTAGCAACCACCGTAATAGACAGAATTAAATGTTCTTCAGAACCTTAGAATTTCTTTCCTTACAGGTTTGATGACAACTTGACATATTAAATAGTTCAAAGAGATGGTTTAATATATGCAACAATGCCAAGCAAGGCTTAGGTGAAGAAAAATGGTCTGCTTTATATCTTGTTCTATTGTATTCAATTTTCTGCCTGAATGGTCTGAGTGAAGGTTGTATACAGCGGGGAGGAGTATTCGAGTCTATAAGGCTACGTTCACACTGCAGCCTGAAGTGACCCAATTCCGATTTTTTTGCCCATATGTGACCTGTATCTGATCTTTTTATGACAGTCTGAACGACACAGATCGGATTTTTTCAAATGCGACCCAGGCCACTTGGATATGTGGTCCTGAATCCGATACGTATCTGATCTTTTCAAATGCGACCTGTGTCTGTACGGCCAGGTCGCATTCATCCGACCTACACGTCATTGATACTTGACAAATGTTACTAAATGTTACTAATCTGCGTCCTACTAAGCGGAGGCGGGAAAAACTAACAACCATGGCGGAAGATAACACAGAGAGCAGTCAATAGAGAGCTCAGTGAGAGCTCTGTACGGACGTTGCTATTACTGCCCCACAAAACGCCATTGCAAGAAATCTGGCTCTCTTTCTTTTTGATCTTCTTAAAAAGATTTCGTTCGTAATGTGCCTGCTCCTGTTGGAGAAGAACTTAAAGAACGCAATATACGCTGCGGTATTACGAGTCATGTTTACTTCCGCAAACACTGAGGACGCTTGCTACATGTGACGTCATCGCGTCCTCGAGTGCGCATGCGGGACACTTCGGTTGAACGCTTTCAGTTCACACAGTAGATCACATACAAGTCGCATATACTTGGAAGTGTGAACGGACATGCAAAAAAAATCCGATTTCACAAAAAAATCGGAATTGAGCATTAAGGCCTGCAGTGTGAACGTAGCCTAAGACTAAGATTAAGGATTTAGAGAACTACTGAAAAGTGAAAATGTAATTCTGGCCTTTAAATTCGACCATTTCACCTTTTCCAAATTACACAGGGGGATTAAAGCTTTTTAAAAGTCTAAACTGCTGATTTAAATTGGAGAGATAGTTTGGCTTTCATAAAAGAAGAGGACACATCAAGGATAGGAAGATGCTACCGTAATTTTCGGACTATTAGCCGCACCTGAATATAAGCCGCAGAAGCTAAATTTCATGATTTGTACATAAACAAGCCGCACCGGACTATAAGTCGCAGGTTTTTTATGTCTAACACAAACTGTCTTGCACTTGCAATGTCTGTCTTTCTCGCAGTGGTTCTGTCTCGTACCACTCGCGGTAGAAGTCTGCTTCCGGAGGACCTCCGCATTCCCGCGTGCGCGGCTACCATACTTATGTGTTGAAGCAAATTTGACGTCAACATGGTGGATGGTAAAATCCATAGATTTAGGTATTACCCTAGTGGCCGTTAGCTGTAAAAGTCCATAGATAAGCCCCATTGTTATATACGCCGCAAGGTCGAAAAATCGTGGCTTATAGTCCGAAAATTACGGTATTTAGATTGTCCTCCTCACACCATGACCTCTGCAGCTATTTGAGGAGGGAGGGATTGGTGATCCAACTAAAGTGGTATAATATTTAATAAAACATATTCATTTTATATGAAACTGTTTCAGCAGGTAGAGCTGAAGGGTTCACCTTTAATCAGAGATTTCAAGGATTCATCATCTAAAGGTCAATACGAAACCTTTAATTTTTATCTGTCCTACCTACGCTCTATAAGCTTTACCAATCTTTAATTCTTATTAAAATATCTAAAATCATAACTTATTAAAAAAAACGACTATTCAAAACAGTTTGTGATGATTCGGGTTTTATCCTGTTTGAAAACATAAACATTGCGGACATGGCAGGATCACTGAATCTATTTACAGCTCAGCTTTGATTAGCTTTATAATAGAAAAGATAATAACTTTAAAAAATCAAACTAGACTTTTAAGGTATTGCTAATAAGTCAAGAATAAGAACCCAATAACCCAATAATAAGTGTATAAATCTGTAAAAGCAGGGTGAAAATTTCACTAAGGGGTAAATCAAGTGTGGTAAAACCGCCACTATCATCAGCTGTAGCCCTAATATTAGCTGACCTAGACACGGTTTCCTCAATGTTTTTCTATGTCGAAGGACCAGATTCTCCCAGATTTATTAATCCTGTCTCGACCAATATGAAATCTAAAAATTCTGAAATGTCACCAGCAGAGAAAAAGAGGGTGGGCAGAGGAAAGAAAGAAATAAATAACAGACGTACAGACCAATGGAGAAACAGATGAATGAACTGACAGACAACCCTGTGGTCAGACAGAAGGATGACTGTGTGGAGGGACAGACTGATAAATGGACGGATAGATGAGTGAGTGATTCAAATATGGATGACGACTGATGAAAAGACAACGGATGAAAAACAGACAGTAGTGGAAGGACAGAGCAAATTTGGATATATTTTTTATAATAACTTTAAAAAAAAGAAAAGAGAAATTTAGTTTGGGGGATGAATGAAAGAAAATGGAGAATTCTTCAAATATATTGGTAAAATATGTTTAATATTACTCCATTCAATTCCAGGACAGCCTACGAACCCAAACATAAAAGGATGCTGTCTCACCTGTGAAGGCCATGTTCTTGGGGTTTCCATAAGGAGTTCCAGGCTGAACGGGACTGTAGACGGGATTCATGGCTGAAGATAACCTGCTTTTACTGGGAACAAACAAAGGGAGAGGAGACAGAGGGATAAGGGTTGACCAAAAAAAAAAAAAAAAAAAGTAGAAATACCTTGTAATCAATGTCAATTAGGAAAAAAAACAACAACAACATACAGTTAAAATTAAATTCATCCAAGGAATTTAGAAAACATTTAAAAGCCATCAAACCCTGAGAATCATCACCCTTAGGAAGGCTTAACGCAAGTATATACTCCAACTATTATAAAGACATGGAGCACAAGTACTGGCTGGAAAGCACAAGAAGGTGTGGATTCATTAGGAGATGGGATCTTCTTAAATGCAACCCGCTGAGTTTAGGCAGGAAAAAAAATCCTAACAGCCCCAACAACGCATGTCCGGACAGACAACCAGACTTCACAAGCAGAATACAGAGAGGAGTGACCTAGTGATGTATTCAGTCGCTAGAACGGGGTCAGGGTAAAAGCGTTATTAATGCTGCATTCCCTGCAAAAAAAAAAAAAAAAGGAAAGAGGAAAAGCTCTGCCTCATGCACAGCTACGATGTGCTCAACTTACCTGCTGTTAATGAATACGGGCTTTCTAAAAGTGTAGTGTGTGTGAATGTGTGTGATTGTGTGTGCACGTGTGCCCCGTACCTCTTGTGCGTGTCTGGTTGATACATGAAACTGAATTTGTCTGTGGGATGCCCGCTCGCCATTCTTGCTGTATGCAAATGAGGAAGGAGTGGAAGTGGATATGCAAATCTGAAATTAAAACAGCGAGAGGTCATGATTACAATGAACACAAGAAAATATTGTGAAATAAATAATAAAATAGCAAAGGAAAACAAAAAAAAGGAGAGAAAAGCAAGCACCGGTGCAACGGTAAATGGTTAGTGAAAGCAGCGGCGAGGCTGAGTGCATCTTTGAGTGAGAGTTTAAAGCAACTGAGTCTTTTTCCAACGATAATTGATTTAAAAACCACTTTGCTGCAGTGTTCCTCTTCTGATGGTGGCTGGAAAACCTTCAGGATGTGTATCAAGAGTGATAGCGACCCATGGGTATGTATGAGTGCACACACATAAAAAAGTGCTGCGTTTAACAATAATCACATAAGCGGCAAAACAAACACTGATTCAGCCTATGAGGAAAACAACAAACCGGGAGAACAGGCAGGTGACGGCAAGCAACAACACAAAGTACAGAACACCAAAGGCCGAGAGCGGAACTGGGCGTGAGGCAGAACCATGAGTGCAGAGGGAAACACAGAGCGAGGGGACAGCAAAGGTGATGTGTGTGTGTTAGATTTGAGCTGATGTGGACATTTTAACTCAAGTATGCTTGTAAATGTGGTTGTCATATGCTATGTACGGGGGGGAGGGGCTGAATATTCTGTGGTTAACACCACTAACCTCATGCATTTGACGTTTAACAAGACAAAATCTACTCTGTTAATGTGGAGTCAATGAAAAAAAGAATAAAATACAAATTTAATCTGAACTGATCCACCTTCTGCTTGTGCTTCACAGTCAGTTAATATCAACAAATCTATTGAATTACAAAAACTATAACATATGAAAGCTCTGGTCAAGACTCTTTCCAACACAATGAATGTTACTCTAAGTACTAATGCATAGAAACAACAGAAAAGAAAAGAAATCTCTAATCTAACGCCCCAAACAACCCAACGCTAATGTGCTGGTAAAACAAGTGTGAAAACAGCAGCTTGATTTCGCCTCTAAAACTCACGTCTTAGTGAAACAGCATCTCAGGGGAGATGATTAACCTGCTGCAACACATCTCAAAGAACAATCCTCATTAATCTACCGCATCATTTGTGATTTAATTCCTTCTTCTAGCTCAGCCTCCACCTTTCAATGCCCCCTGAGCAGCTCTTAAACTCATCATTTACTCCCCCTCACACATTAATCTAAGTTTCTACATGCAAAGTCTTCTGAAGTTGACTTTAAAGCTTTACCCCAGGACAGCTCAGCTTTGGCCTCAACGTAAGGATACTAAAATGTTCATAACAACAACAAAAAGATATTAAGCACAATGCTCAATTTTATTCACTTTTAAAAGTTTTGGTCCATCAATAAAGGCAGACCGATTTCGTTTCAATGATCACTATCATTTGCAAATCAAGGCTGTGTTTAACAAAAAATAAATAAAATATTCCTATTCAGAATCGATCTTTATATTACTTCCTAACGATTGATTCATATAACCAAAGATGGATTCTTTGAAAGAATATTTTTCCACTATGAGCTTTAATGTGTGAGCCGGCACTTGTGGCTCAACTCTCGCAGGCTGCACCTACTAGCTGTTTACCAACAAACAAGGAGAATAACATGAACACCTTACAAGCCCTGGCCCTAAAAACGCCTTGCACATCCAAAACCCTTATCTGGCAGTAACTTGGAACTAATGAGGATGTGGATAAAGATAAGCTCTACTCGGCATACAAGACATGCCAATACAGCGGGTTCCCAAAGACGAAGAGAAGCAGTTGGGTCTTTATCAAATAATGAAAGTAGCCTAACTGCATCATGCTGTCTCGCAAACGTCTCTCTCTGAAGTCATACCAAACGTGTACAACTCTGTAAAAGTAGTAAGATAGTTTAATCCTTAAAGTTGTAGGGAAACTGCTGTTCAAACCGTTGCAGTTCCGAATTCTCCCAAGTGGTGCATGACTTTACACGAGTGAAATAAAGTGAATGTGATTGGTCGATTATTAAGGGGGTGGGATTGTTGGGGTGGAAAATTCGCAAGCAAGTTTGGCTGTGGCTGGTTTGTCGGAAGCCTCTTGCTAACAGGTTAGCAAGTTATTACAATGGGAAATTAAATTGGCACCAAGTAAAACTAAATTGGTGACTTAGCAATGACACTGTCAAGGAACGGTATGGACAGCGGAACCATACTAGAGGAGAGTTTTGTGTCGGAGGTCGTGGATGAGTCTCCTCCGCCATACATTTTTTATTTAGAGGAAGAAAGCGGGGACAAAGTTGTTGTGGAAGAGGATACCAGGGCAGCAGAAGCTTGGTTTGGTGCAGAAGGCTTACAGCCGTACATGTTTGAGCCCTTGCATCGCAATGCTGCCCGTTCTGTTAGCTCTACACCTGCCGAAGACACAGACGTCCATCCCCGTGAACACTGGGACGGAACTCAATGGTAAAGTAAATGATTCTTATTTCAACTGTTGCGTATATTAGCTGTGACATATAAATCAAAATGCTATGATCGTGAACATTTAGGTATACAAGCTGATGTATAACTAACTGGCCTGCATAAGATAACGAAAAAAAAAAAAAAAAGATTTTAAGACAGGATTTTTTTTTTTATAGAAATTTTCTAAATTTTAGGGGAATATCGTCTGATGAAGAGTAGATTTATATACATGTTTAAGCCAGAATGATTTGAAATTTAAATATTGTTTTCCTACAACTTTATGGCCACTATTAACAATTTAATTTAATGACTTTTTTTTTCCTAAAAATTTTATTAATCTAAATAAACTCTTGGATTCTTTATCGATACCCATCCCTAGAGCACATCATGTCATACAAGTCCAACCGGCTGTTAGAGGGGCAGGAAGGTAAAGCATGTATATTTTAACGGCCGCGGGTCACCAGGTGTTCACACAGTTCTGCTTCGGTCTATTCCAGTGCAGCGTTTTAAGTTGTTTCGTTCCACCGATGGACAAAAAAACCAGTGGAAAACCAAGGATTCCGGTCATAAGTAACAACTCAGGATGGTTTGGCTTTTTAGGATGTCATTATGTTCTACTTACCTGTTTTCCCAGTTTCTTAGATTTATTTATCTTTTATGGGGTTCTTTCTGGCAGAGCATGCAAAACAATGACAAAGTACTTATTACTTGTTCTCTGGCATTTGAGGAGAAATCCCTCCAAACTTCCAGTCTTTTCTCTGAATCTACTTACAATTGTGCAAACTGATTTAAAATCTAGAAATGGCTGTTCCATGTAGAGGAATTGTGATAAAAATAAATAATAACTGGGCCTCAATTGGTATATGGTATATCTTCTTGACATACACTAGACTGAGATTAGAAAATCGCCTGCAAAGAAATAGTCTGATTCCAACATTAAGCCAATAAACAACTATAATACTTGATTATTACAATCTAATTAATTTATTTTAAATAAAAACAATATTTCCACCTCACTAGAGGCACTCATGACAATAGAGCGCCAACTACAGAGGAGGGTCAATAATCATGAACTTGCAGATAAAATTCTACCCCCATCCCCCTCACTTACATTTAGTCTTTACCTAAAAAAAAAAAAACACTTAAAACCGCCCTGTTTTATAGACATTGATTTGACAAATCAATGCCAAAATAAGCAACAAAACTGATCTGATAACAGCTTTCCATTAATACGGTACTCCTAAAAAAAGAGGCATAAAGGTGATTGATTGCATCAACAAAGCCAATTAACAGATGGATAGGTGGCCTCAGAGACCCGAGGTCTTCTCCTCCTATGTACCCAATTACAGCTGCGTGTGAATAGAACGGTGAGACGCGGGCTTGTTAATCTGTTTCAGTGAGTTGGACAAAAGAAAAAAAAAAAGGTGATGAGAAAAGAGAAAGGGTAGAAACAAGAGGGCTTTTAATGATGGTGTATGAGCGGAACAGAGGACGACAAGAACGCAGGGGTAGGGTGATGAACAGGTCTCTATAGCCATAAAAAGCTCTTTTTTTTTAAACAACTAAACCATCTGTGCAACAAACCAAACCATTCTATAAAATTCATTCAGTGTGGAGAGGAAGGAGAGATTGTTGGTCTATTTGTAGAAGCGAGTGTGATGGAGGACAAACGGATGTGTTTCTTTTCTATTTAAGTGGATTTTCTGTTGATTAAAGGAAAACTAAACAATAAACAGTTTTTATTTCTGACAAATAGACAAAGTATAATACAAAAATTATATCACATAATAGTAAAAACTATAAGACCCCAAATGAAGAGTTTGCTTTAAAAGTAATGAAGAGTAGGACCAACTATGATGGATCAGTTTGTGGCCCAATCAGTGACCAGATGGTCAGTAAATAAAGAATTAGGACTTTACCCCCAAACAGCGGGTTACCTATTCCTAACCATTACAGGGTGAAGAGGAGATTAACAACATTCAGTGAGAAAGTTTGCTATTGTCTCCATCAGGTAGGGACTTTATAATGGCATCAGTAGAAGCAAAAGGATGTAAGAAGCTACTGTTCAGTAGCAATTAAGACATTGGCTGCTACATTTTATCAGGACTGAGGCTGCAGGTCTCATTTATTTTTTACCATTCTATTGAAAAATAACTACTTTTAGTTGATTAACATACATCAATGGAAGTGTTAAGATTTCATAAAACAGCAAGATTTGTTTGAGATGTTTTGGATTTTTAAAATCCAGTTACAATTAAACTAGCCAAAATTAGTTGGTTATTTCAAAAATTGATTAATCAAGAATTATGTAATTAATTGTTTTGGCTCTAATTAGAACACCTAAATACAAAACCCTGAATACAAAATCCCTTTTAGCAGCAGTGTGCTACAGAAGAACTCTTCTTAAAGGGCCCGATTAATAGAGACGGATCTATTCAGTCTATTTCTACAATAAATTCAAGTTAGATTAAAAATCTGGTGAACTGCAGTAAAGTTCATCCCTTTAGGGGAATCTGTCTTATATTTATTAGGTACCATCACTTTTAATCTTTAATGCTACGTACAGTATTTGGTCCAGGATGGCATTAGTTCAGTTA